GCGGCCGCTTACCTCAAAGGTGGTATTTTTACCTTCTTAGCGTGTAAGGAGAGCACTCGTTTGTGTATTGGGAGCGTAAACGGGGGCACCAACTCGTCAAGCGAACTTTCACCAGACTTTGACGATACAACTCACAAGTAATGAAATTACAAGTATCGATTACTTCTTGGGGGTAATTTTGTAATAATTTGAATACATTTATTAGGAAGTAATCACAATCTTATTACTTTCGGAAATATGGAAATTACTTCTAACCGTTACTATTTTTCTCTCCAGCTTCTAATGGCAACCATTGTTTCTGCAAGTTTCCTACCAACCCTCCAACAGGAAAATGGTTTACCAAAATCCGTGGATTAAAGAAATAGGCAGTTTCTAATTTAGCGATTCTAGTCCGGCAAGGACAACTGGAAAGACTCGCGTCTTCAAACTCGACAGAAAAGTTTCACATTTTGAAAATCGGAAGTAATCGGAGAAGCAACGGTTACTTTTTCGAGTAACGACCAACTATTTTGTTTTCTCAAGAAAGTAATCGAATCTAATACTTTTTTTAACCAACGCGAATCGTAATTGTAATCTAGTACTTTTTTTTTTCGAGTAACGCGTATAAAATACTAACTTTAAAACAGGAGCCAAGTGCGCGTGCGCGGGGAATTGTTTTTCTTTTTTCCAAGAGTGAAGCTATTGCGCATGCGTCACCGCACAGCGACACCGCCTTGCCGTGACGTAACAGGCATGATTACCGTAAAATACCGAGCATCCGCCATTTCCACAATAAGTATTCACCTCTCAATTTTGTATAATTCGGAAAATACACAAAAAGACATGCCACCAGGTGGTGCTCCAGTCTTCGACGTCCCAGACAACTTCCGGTTTATAAAAAGAATGAAGAAAGGCCACCTTAACACCGCTGCTTGAAATGTAGATGAAACGTTTAACCACCGATTCTCCAGGTGAACGAAGAAGCGCGAGATCTGTAAAATGTTTCGAGTACTCTTGTAAACCAACATATGCCTCCTCCAAGATGTAATATTGTACAGCCGAAGGCCCTCGCTGTGTCTCCAACTTTGTTGTCCGTGTAGCATTTATGCTTCCTAGCACTGGTGACATACGCAAAGACGGTGCGGCCGGAAGTCGCTTGAGACGCAAGCGGCAGTTCATGTTTCTAAACAGCAAAAGGGTCTATAATAGATATGGATGACCTATAGAAGCCACCATCCACCAGTTTTAAATTATTATCTCCAAATTTTAAGTGGACGCTTGCTTGGGATTTTATGGATAGGTGCACCTGACGTGGCGTACAGTGCGCATAACTCGGGCGTGGAGAAGGCTAGGCTTTTTTTTTGTTTCTCTTCTCTAAATATTTTTTTTACAACACACAACATGCGAACACCAGCTGAAAGCAGCGAAAGCCAGCGGAAAGTAGAGATGCTAAAAATTCTGAAAATCCCCAAGAAAAAAGATGCGACGCCAGAGCTACACTACTGGCGACCTCCGCCAAATCGACAGCACCTAGCAGCCAGAATGGAAAGTAGAGCTGCAGGTTTGCTCGTCGACTTTCTACAGCGGATCAGATTCTATTCACAGCGCCTGAGGGTCTAAAGACAAAGCCGTGAAAGGTTCGAAAACACGCGATGAAAGTCGCCAAAGTAGTCCCACTTCCCGGTGGAGGATATCCTTCGTACGCTTGCTTCTCCGTACATTCCGCCCATACTTTGCATACCACAAAGCAGGGTTCTCCAAACCCCGGTACGCGGGCCAGATCCGCGGCCCGCCAAGGCCTTCTGGCCAGCCTGCAGATGGCCGCGATCTATAAAGTGACGCCCGGCACGCGGCCCACTGCAATGAACTGCTGTCAATGTAAAAATAAGCGCATGTAAAAAAATGGCGTTTAGACGCACGTTAAAAGCGCGAACAAGAAATAAAAAAAAAATGATAGACGTTTACAATTCTCCGTAATGCCGAATTAGAGCGCAGCTCTTGAGGAGGAGGAGGAGGGAAGAGTACGGAGGGGAGGGAGGGTTCGGAGGGGAATTGTCCGGGAACTTGTGGGACAACTTCCTGGTAAATTCCCCGCTATATTTAGCGGCGAAATTTCCCCACCAAACTTTGCGGAAAAATTTCCGCGCTAATTTTAGCGGAAAAATTTCCCTGCTAAATTTAGCAAAAAAAAATTGCCCGCTAAATTTGGCGGGAAAAGCTCCCCGCTAAATTTGGCGGAAAAATTTCCCCGCTAAATTTAGCGGAAAAAATAGGGAGTTTTCGTAGATCGTTCTCGCTGTCCCGCATTGCTCTCCGCAACCAGCTACGCTAGCCGGAACTCTACGGTCAAGGCCATCGGCGCGCCGGCGCAGTAGCGGCTGCTTCGTTGCGGAGGGCTTAGCGGAGGGGGAAATGCGGTCTACGAAAACTCCCTAATGTTCCCCCTTAATTTAGCGGAAAACATTTCCGCCAAATTTATACGTCATTAAGGGAAACGTCCCATAATGCAAGGCGCGGTTACGCCGACGGCGACGCCACTCAAGTCGGAAACGGGTGCCTAAGAGCTGCGCTCTGAAAGAACGAGTGAAAAGTGCGTTGATAGACGGGTGTCTGTGTAACTGTATTAAAATTTCTTTGCGTTATCTTGCATATCCTGCCTAGAGTCTTCTGTCATAACTATTGCATATTGTCATCATCAGGTCTACCGCTTCAACTAGTCTTCTGCCCCCGTGTGAATAGGCCAAAGTTCCCACTTACTTTGATTTATTCCTGGGGCCCTAACCTCGTCAAAGACAAAGGTGGAGCCGAAAGTTCACGGAGCGCGCCGACTGGACGTCGGCGACAAAAGTGCGAAGTCATCGTCGTAATAGGCCAATCGGTGCGCTCCGCCAACTTCGGCCCCAATTTTGTGCTTGACGAGTTTAGAGGCCCAGGAGCCCTAAACTCGTCAAACACAAAGTTGGAACCGGAAGTTCGCGCAGCGCGCTGATTGGACGTCGGCGACAAAAACGCGAAGTCATCGTCGTGTTTGTCCAATCGGTGCGCTCCGTCAACTTCGGCTCGAACTTTGTGTTTGACGAGTTTAGGGCCCCTGGTGAGTTTTCCGCGTTACAATTATGTTGTAACGTCATCAGCGTTAGCAACACCTTTTGTTTTGTATTTATATGCCTAATTATATTTATATGTTTAGTATTTCCTCATTTATATTTACTTGCTTATTTTTGTGGCCCTCGAGACTGCCACAGATCCGCACAGCCCTTTAGACGAAGCTTTTGGAGACCACTGCCATAAAGGATTCGAAGCACACAGTATAATTTGTACACCATGTGCCTCTATTTTGAGGAACAGCGCGCGACACAGCTCGAACAAGCCATCGCCGAGGTTTTCTAAGGCTTGTTTTCTGACGACAATGGTTTCACTAAAAGGTGTTGCGTGTTGCAACGGGCACACCCCTGACACCAACTATGGGCCCAGAAGGTTGATGTTTCTTCGTACTCTTTCTGATAAGAATAGTCAAAAGCGCAGATGCTTTGTCGACACCTGTCTTGGTGTCTATCTTGCACGCACGCGACGCGGGAGTCATCCCAAAGCAGAACCGGGACATGTAATAGGAAAACCCCGTGGAGTAAACCTAAGGGGAAAAATCTGAGGCCTTGACTGGCCTATTTCGAGCACGTGACAACAGCGCCCTTCCGCAACTACACGCAGCGTCGTCCGCGGTTTCTTTTGGGGTTCCATCTTGGTCAAAGTTGCTGATTGGACGCGGCCTTACAGCTTCCGACTGGGCACACGTTATCGACCAATGAGAAAAAAGTTGACCCTTTCGTGAGTCCACAGATCGGGCACTATTTCTGTGGGAACGTGTCCTAGGTACTCATTGATCCACCGGTCGATCTCAGCCTGTGTACGGCAGCAGAACTACTTGAGATGTGCAAAGGAAGCATGGCTTGTAACTTGTTTGTCAAGGCCTTCCACTGTTAAATAGCAGACAACCACAATTTTAGCTTGCGTCCGATCTCACTTAGGTTTGTTAACAAACGATGTAGGTTTTTTGTAGTTTTTTTTCGTCTGCGAATGACGTTTTGCCACAGACAAGCCCAGTTTTTTGCTCGCGTTAGCAAAGGAACCGTCTGCGAACGCTGCAAAACAGCGTTCGAAGACGCTGTAAAACAGCTTTTTTTGCTTCCCCACCTTCCCCCTTCATCATGCTAATGAGAAAATAAAAGTCATTGTGCTTTGTATTGTATTGTAACTTGTAAGGACACCTTATAGCTCCCTTCGTGAGGTGCAGATTAGATCTCGCTCTCGCGGTGACCACAATCGGACCCCAGGTTTCTGGGGTGAACAGAGGGGAGGGGGGGAGGGGGGGGGGGGGGTATTAGAGTAACGCACTTTAGTGGTTCCGCCTCTACGCCTTCAAGCACGTGCAGACTTGCTTTTGTCTGTGATGAGCCTCCAGCCTGAACATAGCGATGCCATCCCTCCTTATATGCTGGCGCCATCCCTCGGCATTAGCGAGTTTTAGTAGACCGTGTTTCCCGCTCCGCTGAGCCCTTCCGCTACCCGGAACTCTACAGCCAAGGCCATCGGCGCGCAGGCGCAGTGGTGGTTTTTTCGTAGCGGAGGGCTAGCGGAGCGGGAAGCACGGTCTACTAAAACTCCCTATTATTTCGAACTATTGGGGCGGTTCAGAGAGTTCACATAATAAATACCACCTACAAGGTAAGGCCTGCGCACTGCGTCATCGTTAGTTGATCCCCGACCGGTCTCATGCGGCAAACACGCTGGGGCTCGACGATAGTCACCGGAAAGCGACAGACGCGTGCCTCTTGGCGTCGGCGCGTATTAGCGTCGCGCTCTTTGTGAGACTGCATGACGGGCTGGTGGCGATGCTTTGTGGATCCACTACTGCTGACGTTTGGGGGATTTGTATTTTTTGGGTGGTATCATTTCAGACGGCAGTCTGTCGGAACTGCCATCACCTTGGGGTGTCTCTTGCCGGGACGCCGGTGGGCCCTTACCGTACATCTTGCCCTCGTCGGACAGGATGATCTTGCGGCGACCGCATGGCGGGTAGATGGCCAGGGCCTCCTGGAAACTCTGCTCGATGTCCGGGCTCCAGACGCCCTCGGCGTCCGAGTTGGACACGTCCCCGCCCCGGCCCCCCGAGGGCCCGTCCTTGGAGTTGGAGTCGTCGGAGCCCGGGTCGGAGAGCGGTTGCGAGGCCTGAGGCCCGCCTCCGCCCGGGGGCGTGAGGCCCGGGCCAGAGTTCCAAGGGGACGAAATCTTGAACACTGATATAGGCGCCACCCTGCGGAAAAGAGAGGAGACACGCAGAAGGGTCAGCAACGGTATTGTCCGAGTCACCGGCAATCATGGGTCGCAATCATCGATGGTAATGTTATCCTAGGATTGCAATAGGGAGTTTTAGTGGGTCGTTCCGATATGACTCCGATACGATACCTGATACTGCGCCGACGGCTATGCGCACGCATCGTGTGGTTATCGGATATCGTTATCGGAGGTATCGGAGAGATCTACTAAACTCTAATGTATATGCAAGAGCCGACAACGCAACGGTATTGCAGACCCGAGCCACGACCAACGCGGCATATGTTTCGTGTTGCGGGTACTCGGTTAATTAATGTTGACACTAAATCTAAGAAAAGAATCAATGCTGCAGAAGCTGGAGAACATGGGATATCTCCGAGTACCATGGAAAGACAGTCGGAGAAGTGAGCGCACAACACTCCAGACACTGTGTATACGTTACGATGGTGACTTGTGGAGAAAGAGGGTACCTTGTCTGTTGCATTTGCTCCAAATGATTAGTAAAACATATAAAAAGCGCAACAGAAAGACAAGGACAAGAAGTATACAGTACAGGCGCTGTCCTGTATACTTCTTGTCCTTGTTTTTCAGTTGCGCTTTTTATATGTTTTACTAAGACAAACCAACTAGCCCAACAACGTACCCTACTAAACTCCAAATTATTCTTTAGGTCTGATAGACTACGACACCAAAAGAAGGACATCACGTGCAAGGGATATGAACGGTGGCGTTCATATTCCCTTAGACCGTCATTTTGTTGTACGCTTTGGAGCACCGGAAGGAATGATGATTGTCAATGGTCTATAAACAAGTCCAACAAAAGTCTGCAGTTATTGCTGCGTCCACCGCATCGTGCCCACGACGACGAAAGAGCCATCCAGTGAAGTTTGCGCCGTACTGGCTAGGTAGCGCAAGCTGCCACCCAATTCCAGGCGTACCGACGCGTCCACCTGCCCCTGCATGACAAATATCCTCCCCCCCCCCCCCCCCCCCTCAATCAAAATTATGAAAAATGGAAAGCCTCAATGTGCTGCTAAGATGGGACCACTAGATTAAAATATAGGTGTAAAAAGAGCCTTACCCCAATTGGAGACAAAGCATCAACCCTATATCTATATCTAAGACTCTTATTCAGGATTCTCGGGAGTTAAGACAAGGAAGTAATTAACTCGCCACAAAGAGAGTTGGGTTTACAATCCCGAGACTTTATAAAGGAACAACTGAAGTGTTTATCGTTTGAATGGCAGTTCCGAAGCTGGAAATGGAAAGGCCAACAAGTCATTCGTCCTTCCTGGTGCGCTTGTTGGACAGTGACGTCCAGGTGCATGATTCCGGACCACGGTTCCAGACGCGCGGCTTCATGCCCTATCATTGAGCCCCATTTGATCAATATGCATGCTGTCTTGACCACGATCACAGGCCTCGTACTGCCTAGATAGCTTTACTATACGTGGCAGTCGTAGCGGTTGACAGCGCACCTGCAGCAGTGTACAGCCGGTTTACAGACTTGCATTTGACATGGCCTCGAGGCACATTGGCGCCGTTGGTCGAGCAGCTCTGGAACACTTTCAGTTTGTGTATATACCCCCAGAATGTTTTACGCATCATTCTTTCACAGTGGGCTAGAAATAATTCTCACAGTGTTATAATTGCGACCATTTCTTATCGAGAGTGCGCAATTTCATATCGCAAACTCCGTAAAAGTGTCTAGTTACTATATATACACGTTGGAAGTGTTCCAGGTCTTCCCGATATATAGAACAAGTGTGCCAGTTTGTAGTATACGGTTGCAAGAGAACTGAACGTACACCTGCACAGTCAAACACAAATGTGCGATCCGTCCATTACCTCCACGTCGTGGAACTTCTTAACGTTCGAAGGTCCGGGCTAGATAGGGCGGACGAGGGAAACCATGAAAGGCGGCCACCAGCATGGAAACCACACGTCATAATCTAATATCCCGAGACAGTTAAAGAGAAATAAAATAACGGTCTTGTCCGTAATTTCATTTCTCCTTGTCTCGGGGTCTAGATTATGATGTTTGCTAACCAGCCTCGCCAGCATAGTTTAGCTCTCTGCAAAACCACGCGTGTCGCCCAGCGTAGAAACACACGCGAACGATCCCAGCGTTTACACAAGGTGAACCGCATCGGCGTGGCGTCGAAGGGGGCAGCCAGCTGGTCACACTGGCCAACGAGCCGATGCCCGCGACGTTCAGACGCCACCATCCAAATAAAATATGAACGTTTTACGTGCCATACCAAACCAAGGGCATCTGGTACGCCCCAGCGAAAGAGTAAAAAATATTTTCGGCACCCTGTTGTTGTTGTTTTTGTACGTGGAATTGAAGCACACGCTGAAGCAAATGACAAGCTTGCGGTGACTCGCTTGCTGCGAGATGCCGCACGGCGCACTGTCGACGATCGTGACGCATGGTAAGCAACGCTGTGTGGGTCCACTACTGATGACATATGGAGGGGAAAGGCGCGGGCCTTCTCTTTTGGGTGATATCGGTCAGGTCCGCCGGCGTGCGGGCGAGCGAGCGACCGCGAAACGTCAGGGTCTTCACCGGCCTTCCCGTGCGGGGAGGCGGCGAACACCTGCACGCACCGGCCAGCCTTCACTGGCAGGATGAGTCAGACGGCAAACTGGTTTCTGCAGCACTTGGCTCTCTCCGTGAACACGCAATGACGCCGGCTACCCGCGCCGCCGTCGCCAGGAGGTCGCTCAGCGGTACTGACCCCCTACGCTGGCAGCAGTGTTGGATGTTACGCGTTCAGACCGATTCACATTGTGGAACTTTACTCGCGATTTTGCAAGTGCAGCAATAAACACCGCAACTTCCGCCAGGCTTTTTTTTTTTTTTTTCCCCACACGAGAGACGGCGAAATCACAAAATCGCACCATGTGAATCAGCCTTTACCAGTAACGACGTTACTTTTCACGCGTTACTTTTCGCAGTAACGTACTCGTTATACTTCCCAAAAGGCTAACGAGTGAATTAATTTCGTTACTATCTTACGGTATCGTCTATCAAATTAGATTACACGTATTCGTTTCTTTTCCGCGGCATCATTTATCTACTCAGATTAAGAAAAAAATATATATGCTACAAATCTGAATAAAAAATATAATAAACACTACTAAATCCCCTTGTAAAAGTTTACTTGTTGTCGAAGTTCGTACCCACCGCTTATCGCTTGCCAAATAATACTGAAATCTGAAGTAACGCAAAAAGTAACGTGCGTTAGATTTTGGAAGTGACGGTAACGGTATTTCGTTACCTTTGGAGGAACGAATCTCAGTAAAGTGTTTTAACAGGGAGCTTTCGTAGATCGTTTTCACCGTCCCGCAACGCCCTCCGCACCCCGTTACGATACCCGAAACTCTACAGTCAAGGCCATCGGCGCGCAGGCGCAGTAACGGCTTCTTCGTTGCGGAGGGCTCAGCGGAGCGGGAACCGCGGTCTACGAAAACTACCTAACGTTTGACGAAGCAACAACTAACGCTATTTTCGGTACCTGTTCCCGGAAAAGGGCCCACCAGCACTGGCTGGCAGTGAACGGGACGCAACCTACCATCTCGGCCAATCAGCCGCTTGCCCACCGCGTCAACTGCGGTGCTCCTTTATGCGCACAGGCCGAGCGGAGACCGCTCCAACGTCAGCAGACGGCTTCGCCAGCGACCCGCTGACCCCAGCCGCCCGAGTCGGGAGTTTCCCCGACAACGCTGCCTTGGGCAGTGGCGCGTGCGCGTTCGACCGTTCAAATTGCCGCCCGCTCGTCGCAGCAAAATTGCGCCTTCTTGATTCCGGTCGTTCTTTGCCTGCTTCGTTTGTTTGCTTGCTTTACGAGGGCGAGAGGTTTCCGTGGGGCACGCGTTAGATGCAACCCCCTTTCTTCTTTGTTCTTCTTCGATGGTCACAATGGAGGCGTTAGCAATTACGTGGCGCTGCTTCGCTTTCTCCGAGCGCGCTCTCGTCGTTTTGACAAATTTGAACACACAGTTTTGGCCCAATTGACGAATTGATACCTGCAGCTGAGCCCCCTTAACTGGCCGCCGGCTAATCAATGTTTTCTTTTTTTTTTCTTTTCGTTTTCAACTTGCCGCGCAGTTTGAGTGGCTCCATCTGGCGGCCAGCCCGGAGTGCCGTCACAGCCAGAAAAGGAACAGTCTTCACTTACTTAGTGAGTACGAACAGCGTCTGATTTGTGGAGCTTGCCAAGTGGAAAAGAATTAGAGCAGGCCACCATGGTTAGTGTTGCGATTCGTGCGAGGTGAAACAGCGGAGTCCTTCTCCTGACGGCATGATACATTTAGTGCAATGTTACATGACGAACTCAGTTGCGGAAGTCCTTCTTCCACAAATGGCACCAGTCGTCGCTCAAAGCGCCATCTAGAAGCTGTAATTCAAAACTGTATTTTTTTTTTTTTTTTTTGGAAGCTACGGTGAAGCGACATTTAGACGTTGTGTTTCAAAACCTGTTGTTCGTATAAGAGCAGTCTCCAAAATTGTGGCGTTTCGAACGGTGGGAGGCGTTCGCTCTGCTAAAAAGGAAAGAGAAGGGAGGAGCTCTCCCTAAACTCCTCACCTGTCACCTACTAGTGGCGTTGACTTAGTGGAGCACTGAGACCGCGGCGACGTATTTGTTCTTCCTCGGGGCTAATTACAGGGTAGAAGCATTCGTCATTGACGGTGACAAGCTTCGCTTCGGCGATCTTCCCTTTGGAAGACGTCGTCTTCGCGCGGTAATGTCTTCAGTTCTGCAGTACCTACAGTGTCTGGCCCTACGCGCACGCATTGTGCTTGGCATAGTGTTAGGAGTTGACCTACCCCGCGTTCACTTTCGATGATAATCCACTAGAGTTTGAGTCTCAAGCTCATCAACGAAAATGGTTAGCCTTAGCCCTAGCCTCCTTCGCCACGGGCACTGCTGTGTTCGCACCGCAGGTCAACATCCATTCCACACAATCAGAATC